GTTAAGGGATGCCCAGAGTTTTTCTTCCTTTTAATAACAGAGGTTTCCCAATCATTCTCAGCCCAATGCATAAATGCTGCTTCAGGAACAATTATCTTTCATTTCAGTATTCATCCTTCCCCCCCCCCTCCAAGGACAGGGCAGCATGCATTTCTCCCCTCCCCCCGGATTTCACCCTCACATCAACCCTGTGGAGCAGGCTAGGATGAGATTTAACATTTGATCTAGTGAGGTGTACAGTGGTACCTCGGGTTACAGACACTTCAGGTTACAGAGGCTTCAGGTTACAGACTCTGCTAACCCAGAAATAGTACCTCGGGTTAAGAACTTTGCTTCAGGATGAGAACAGAAATCGCATGGCGGCGGTGCAGCAGCAACAGGAGGCCCCATTAGCTAAAGTGGTACCTCAGGTTAAGATTGGTTTCAGGTTAAGAATGGACCTCCAGAATGAATTAAGTTCTTAACCCGAGGTACCACTGTACCTGGCGAGCCTTTCTCCTGCTCTGGAGGGTAGGACTCAAACCAATGGCTTCAAGTTGCAATAGAGGAGATTCCAACTAAACATCAGGAGGAACTTTCTGATGGTAAGAGCTGTTCAAGGGTGGAATGGACCCCCTGGGAAGGTAGTGGTTACTCTCTGCCTCCTGCCCTCAAAAGATGAACAGCATTAGGAGACAATGCAATTGGCACTTTTTTTTTGCTTCAGTAATTTTCTTAAACAAGTGCAGATTTAATTAAGGCTTATTGTAAATTAATTTGACCTGGGCACTGAGCCAATGAGGGGAGAACATAAAGATACACATCTGGCTCAAGCTGATCTTTTGCTCTGTTTTTTAAAACAAATCTTGGGAAGGGTCATTTAAGCGAGATTGGTCTCGGCGGGGGTCAAGCACAGGTCTCTCTCCAGGCTTCTGGAGAAAATCATGTACTGTATTTTTTCGTGTATAAGACACCTCTGTGTATAAGACGCCCGCTATTTTTGGTGACTCTAATTTAAGAAAATAGAGGGAGATGGCACAGAGTTGTTGAGCTTTTGGGGGGGAGGATTGAGGTTTTTTTTGGGGGGGGTTGCACAGGGTTGTTGAGCTTTTTTAGGGAAGATTGCAGACACGCATTGCGAAATCTGCCTCTCGTCTGTCCCCTCGCCGGCATGAGCTACCAATCGCCCACCCAATTGCCGCAGCGACAGCCAATCAACACCAACCCTTGATGCAGCTACCAATAACACGCCCAATAGCCACTGACAGCCGCAGCAGCAACCAATCAAATGTCTACCCCATGCACTATCCATGTATAAGATGAGCCCCACTTGAAACAAATTGGTCTTATACACGGAAAAGTACGGTACAAAATGACTCTTGGATGTGAAATTGTAGTGCTACTTAGGCCAGTGGGGAGGTGTGGGTGTGAGATGTTCAGCAGCAGCAAACCAGGACAGCTGCTAGGGAGCTGGCTCAGTCTGTCACCTCAGCCACCCACAACCCACACTGTCCAGCTGGGTTGCCTGCCCACTCACCTGCCTGCCTGCTCTTCCACCACCCAGCTACAGTTCGTGTGGCTGCTTATTGGCAGCCATGTAAACTGCAGCATGATGACATTCTTACAGTGTTCTTTATATAGGGAGGTATAGCAACTAGCAATTACATTTGCAGAGAAGACAACCCATGCTTCTTTCCAAAGGCCAAGGTACATGGCTTTATCTCAAGTCAACAGGTGAAAGGTTTAAAAGTGTTGGTGTCAGATGCACCTCTATAGGGAGGGAATTCTGTGTTTTGGGGGCTGCCACAGAGAAAGCTATTGCATGAGCCAATGTCCCCCGAACCTCTGAGGACAGCCATACTGCCAGCAGGACTTCATCCTCCCGTCTCCATACTCAGATTGGCAGCTAAGGAAGGAGGCACTCCTTCAGATATTTAGTTTTTGTTTAGGGCTTTATGTGTTCATATAAACCGAACACCATTTATTCATCCCTTTTGGCTTCTAAGATTTTGCTGGACATTGCTCATACATTGCCATGAGGTCCAGAAATTTGCTTCTTTTTAAAAAATTAAAGCTTAGATTTTTTGGGAAGTGGCAGCAGCACCTCTTTCCCATCTGTCCCTGCTACATGGCTGTGGGATCCAGGTCATATTCTCAGCTCTCTTGATAGGTGACACCATTAATAATGGCCTTCCTTAAGCAATCTGTTTTTTTTTTTTTAAATAAGAGGTTGATGAAAACAACTGGATTATTATTTTTGTGTATTTGTTTAATTGCTTACCAGTTTCGACCGGAGCACCAGGCTTCTGCAGAAAGGTTTCTGTCGCTTGAGGATTGCTGCTGGCTTGCCGGAAGCCTTGCGTTCTATAATTCTCCACTCACTTCTGCAAAAGGGAAGGCTGCTTTGTTTTAGAAATCCACCTTGGGCAAGATGGTCCAACTGCCTCCTTGGAGGCCTATTAGAAATGAGTTGGTGGTATTAATGCACAGGTATCTTTTTGCTACCTAAATCTCTCTAACAGTCTGGTAGCTCTAATCAGGGAAGTTAAGGGTCTGAACTGGATTATCTTCTTACACCAGGAGGTGGCCTCTTCAGGCTAGAGATTAGATGTCTCCTGAACTGTCTGCTGCCTTTCATGAATTGTGATTTCCTTTTGAGCAAATCCTTCTGTTTCTTTTGGCTTTTCCTACAGGAAGCCTTTAGCTCTTTTGACTAGATCTCTGTTTTCTTTCTCTCGTCTTTTCTCTCAGTGTGGAATAAAAGGTAAAGGTAAAGGACCCCTGACCGTTAGGTCCAGTCGCGAACGACTCTGGGGTTGTGGCGCTCATCTTGCTTTACTGGCCGAGGGAGCCGGTGTTTGTCTGCAGACAGTTTTTCCGGGTCATGTTGACAGCATGAGTAAGCTGCTTCTGGCAAAACCAGAGCAGCGCACAGAAACGGTGTTTACCTTCCTGCCGGAGTGGTACCTTTATCTACTTGCACTTTGACGTGCTTTTGAACTGCTAGGTTGGCAGGAGCTGGGACCAAACACCAGGAGCTCACCCTGTTGTGGGGATTTGAACCACCTACCTTCCAATCGGCAATCCCAAGACTGCACACAGACTCATCAGCAGATGGTGTGGATGTGATTGGGCACCCAAGGGACATTTCTCTGGTTCCATGTGGACAGCATGGCACTGATCTCCTTCCTGTCTCCTCTTCTTCTCCACTTGTAGTATTCACAAGCCTCCTGCAATTTAGGCTTGACACAGGCAGAGGGGCAAGATGGGGCAGGATTCCCCATGTGCCTTGTTTTCTCCCTCTGTCTCTTTCTCTCTGAGATTGCATGGATTGATTGGTGCCCAGGGGAGAGGTGAGCAAACAGGCAGTGGCAACAGTGAGGAGGTGGGGAAGAGGAAAGTGGTGAGACCATCATTGCCATTATCTAACAATGGGTCTCTCCATACACGCATCCCGCCCTGCCCTGTGGTCTGAAGTGATGTTCCTGGACAGGGAGGCATTTTAAAAGCTGCCTGTTTGAGATGCCATGACAGATGGCCATCCAACGTCTGCTTAAAAGCCTTCAAGGAAGGAGAGTCCACCACCTTCCAATATCATAATTGTTAAGTTGTGGGAGAACATATCAGACGACACAGCTGACGAGTCTGTGGGCACTCCTGGGATAGAAAGCAGCCACCTTTGGGGCTCCATGAGGCTTCCCCACTGAGCAGGCTTGACGGCCCCTACTTCTGGTTGCACCAAAATGTGGGCAGGCTGAGCTGGCACCTCTGGTGGAGCTGCTGTGCCCCTGCCCCTGCTGGGTGGGGTGTGGTGGGCAGCTGCTTAGCACACTCACTGGCTGGCACTGGCCTGGGTGCCTCTGCTGGGGCCACGTCCCTCTTGGTGGTAGGTGTTGGGTCCTTGCTGTGTTGTGACTGTCATCCCTGCTTGCAGATGAGGGTCTGTTGAAGTGGAGCTGCAGAAAGTGGGAGGCAGGGAAGAGGAAGAGGAGCCCAATTAGCATGATGGAGGCTCCTCTTCCCACTCCACACAGGTGTTCTTACTTGTCAGTCACTCCATACCTGTTCTGCAGGCAGCTTCTGTTGGCTGTATCAGACAAAAGTGGTTGCCATGGTGTGTGTGTGTGTGTGCATGCGTGTGCAGACATGATTTGGACCTTGGTGCTGGTGCTGAGGGAAGCTTATTTAACCCTTTCTCTCAACGCCGTTCCCGCCCTCCTCAGCTTACATTGCTACCTTCCCTACCCAGCCGCCACCTGCGAAAGGGGAAAATAGGTGGGTACCTGTATTCCGACCACACTTCCTTAACATGACTAGTGTGTGTGTGCGCGCACGTGGATGTGTGAGAGTGAAATGGGGAGAAGGGCAACACCATCTTTGATTCCTCCCACCTCTTAGCCTGAAGAGACAGAATTGCAAAGGGATGGTTTTTTTTTTAATAGTGTTTTTTCAGTCAGCTATTTGGTATAATTCCACTTGGGCAGTTTAGTTCCTCTTGAATGTCACAGACAATACAAAGCCATCATAATGATCCATATTAAATTTATCTCCCCCTGGAACTGTTTCTCTCTCTTTCTCTGGAACATTCAGTGTGTACCACCCACATAGTTTAGCACCCTCAGAACAGCTGACAGGGCCTCGTGTGAGCTTCTATTACACGTTATCATTTGGAGAGCACTGTGGCCTGGTGTGTGTGTGTGTGTGTGTGCGCGCGCATCATATTCATCTCCATGGAGTCCTCGGCCTCCTCTGGTTATTCAGCCTGTGAGACATGGCACAATCTCTTTCTCTACCCACTCTCTGTATCACCCTCTCCCCCCCGTGAGACTCATCAGGTGGGAGGACTTGCTCAAAATCTTGCTCCTGTTCTCTTCCATGCCCCCCCCCGGAAGATGATATATATAAAATCCAGCCCTGCTGGTTTTGCTGGGATCTGGCATGGCCAGGAACCGAGTAGCCGAGAAAAAGCCGATTCCATGTTCAGGGAGATAGATCAAGCAGGGCTCTGAAAGTCGTATAGAGTCAGGTGGTGCAGTAGCTCAGTGCATCTGCCTGTTAACCAGAATATTGGTGGTTCAAGCCCACCCAGGGACAGCTGTGGGCAGGATTCCTGCAACGCAGGGGTTTGGACTAGGTGAGCCTCAGGGTTCCTCAGGGCCCTCTAGAAGTTTTGGGACTACAACTCCCATCATCATTAGCTAACAGGACCAGTGGTCAGGGATGATGGGAATTGTAGTCCCAAAAACATCTGGAGGGCCAAGTTTGGCCATGCCTGGGGAATGGGCTTCATTTACACTTTAGAAGTCCCTGCCTATTGACACCAGACAGACTCCTTCTCTACTCTTTTCAATGCCTGCATAAAACATGGCTTTGTTTAGGTCAGGCTATCCAGACACGTGGTGCTAGTTACATGTGTTTTATTTCTTTTTAGCTGCCATTGATTGTGTTTTGAATATTTTAAAGTACCCATCTTTAACTGGTTTTTTGAATGGATAATGCTTTAGTTTTTGTAAAAATTGCTTAGAGAGGTTTTTCTTTTTTTCCTTTATAATTATGCAGTATATAAATTTTGTTAAATCAAAATGAGTAATAATCTGCTAGCTGAAATCCAAGAGGTTGGCAAATGCAAAGCGGAACTTGTTTGCCAGCTTCCCTGCTCGCTCTCCCCCCCCCCCCGCTGCCTCAAATTTCTTCTTTTTTAAAGCATTGTTCTGAGTCATCGTGCTAATAAACATGGAACGGCTTAGATCAGTGCTCGCTGTCCTTATCGAAAAGGGTCCTTTTCATAATGAACACAAATAGTTTTATGCTCTTCTCTGCGTGCACCTTTACAGTTGCATAGTCAAAAATAGCATGAAAACCTCCGGTAGTTTAGCAAGAGTGACTTGACACACCTGAAGCTAATCAGGAGCAGAGGTCAATGCGCAGTTTGAAATGCATCCACAGGGAAGGTTATTACAACTGGGCGACTCTCTCTCTCTCTCAGCTGTGCCCTGGTTTTTACCTGTGGAAAACAACAGGCAAGAGGCAACAGTTTGTACAATGCTCAAGTCGCTTCATTTGGATGCAGGTTCCAGCTGTGCTTTTATCTGTCAATAGATCTAGGTCAGGGAGGGGGAAACTTTCTTTGAAACCTGAAGCTTGCATTCCCTTAGGGCTAATTCTCCATTGCTGGCAGTGGGCGGGGCAGAAATGAAAGTGGGCGGGGACAGCTTCAGTGGTAAAGGTAAAGGGACCGCAGACCGTTAGGTCCAGTTGTGGATGACTCTGGGGTTGCGGCGCTCATCTCGCTTTATTGGCTGAAGGAGCCGGCGTACCGTTTCCGGGTCATGTGGCCAGCGTTACTAAGCCGCTTCTGGCAACCAGAGCAGCACACAGAAATGCCGTTTACCTTCCTGCTGGAGTGGTACCTATTTATCTACTTGCACTTTAACGTGCTGTCGAACTGCTAGGTTGGCAGGAGCAGGGACTGAGCAAAGGGAGCTCAGCCCATCGCGGGTATTCGAACCGCCAACCGTCTGATCGGCAAGCCCTAGGCTCTGTGGTTTAACCCACAGCACCACCCTTGTCCCAGCTTCAGTGGTAGGTGGGGCTATTCTAGCATCCTGCCCTCATGTACCTCCCCACATCACAAATACACATAGTGCACACCCCCACATCCACATGTATATGTGTATGCATGTATATCTATACCAGGTGAGGGGAGGCCTTTGGTACTATGATGCCCTGAGCAAGCCAAGATTTGGTACCCCTCTCCCCAGCCCCCATGCCATGCCAGGCTTTGGGAAGGAGGTGAGAGGGCCCTGGCAGGGTCCTAGGGCCCTCCCACCACCTTCCCAAAGCTGGACAAGCGCTAATTAGGCATTGGGGAAGAGATGGGAGGACTCTAGGACCCTGTCAGAGCCCTCATGGCTTCTTCTTGAAGCCAGGCTTGGAGCCCAGTGTGGGGGAACTGGCCACATTGCCCTAAAGCTGCCTCTGCTTGGCCCTCCAGATGTTACTGGGTGACAACTCCCATCATACTTGACCATTAACCTGAGTTAATGGCGCAGCAACATCTGGAGGAGCAAAGGTTCTCCACACCTGATCCACACACACACACACACGATTGTGAACACACATACACATTCACACACACCTGTATGTATTCGCTCATGCACTGTGAGTACATACACTCTTTCATTCTCTCTCTCTCTCTCTCTCCCTCTCTCCCTCTCTCCCTCTCCCTCTTTAGGCATCCTGCTGCCACATTCAGGCTTGAAAAATGTCTCCTTTTGGAGCCAGTGGGAGGCCTAGATTCTAGGTTTACTGCATTGATTTCCTTTTGGCATCTCCCTTGTCTCCCTTCCTTCCAGCTTGTACCTGTTCGATGGGCACACAAGGCGTTCCTTTCTCTGTGTGCTTCCAGCTATCGGCACGCACTCTGATATGGCATGTTGTACTGCTCAGAGACCCTTGTGCTGTCTTTCCTATGACAAAATGACAGGCTGTGAGACTAAGGCAGCTTGTCTGCAGAGCAGATGATGGGGAGGTAGAACCGTTCCTGGACTGTCCTACTTCATGCTGAAACAACACACACACACACACACACACACACACACACACATACAGAGAGCGCGTTTGAAATGAATGCTTAGCAAATTCGCTGAGTTAATTCAAAAATCACTAAATCATATCTGCAAGCTGTTCCTATAATTTCCAGGTACTGTTTATGATGGAACTTTGGGCAATTTTAAATTCCATTCCATTTTAATTTGTTTCAAGTGTATTATTTATTTATTTAGTTAATGAAATTTATATACCAATTGATTGTAGAAAAAAAACCCTCATAGTGGTTTTACAAAAAAGGTAAAACCATAAAATTATCACTAAAAATTTACAACCATAATTTAAAACAAAAAGAAGTTTGAAACCACAATAGAATAGACCAAAACAAATTAGGACAAATTGCAAACTTTCTAAACATTTGGGTAGGCTTGTCCAGATAAGAATGTCTTCAGCTGCTGCTGTAAAGAATACAGTCAAGGCATCTGGCTAATATAAATAGGCAGGGAGTTCCAAAGTGTTGGTGATTCTACACTAAATTATCAAATGTGGAGCGGGTATTATGTGGCACCTGTAAAAAGTGCCCAGTCTGCTGACTGAAGTGGTCAAGTGGGCACATACAGAGTAAGGTGATCTCTGAGGTAGACTGGTCCCAAGGTGATATATATATATACTATATCTATCTATCAATCTATCTGTCATCTATCTATCATCTATCTATCTATCATCTATATCTATCTATCTATCTATCTATCATCTATCTATCTATCTATCATCTATCTATCTATCATCTATCTATCTATCTATCTATCATCATCATCTATCTAATCTATCATCTATCTATCATCTATCTATCTATCTATCATCTATATCTATCTATCTATCTATCTATCTATCTATCTATCTATCTATCTATCTATCATCTATCTATCATCTATCTATCTATCTATCATCTATCTATCTATCTATCTATCTATCTATCTATCTATCATCATCTATCTAATCTATCATCTATCTATCATCTATCTATCTATCTATCATCTATATCTATCTATCTATCATCTATCTATCATCTATCTATCTATCATCTATCATCTATATATCTATCTATCTTAACAATAACACCTCGAACACGGTCCCGTAGCAGACCAGTGCAGACCTTTGAACCACAGGGGCTACTTAAGGTTACCAGATTTTTTCCAAAGAATCCGGGGACACGTTTTTTTTTGAAAAGAGAAAAAAAAAGTTATTAATTTTTTTAAAAGACGTAATATCTTCTCTTCTGTGGTCTCCTCTGTCGCGTGGCCTTCCTCTGGGCCCCAGCCTGCTCTCTTGGAGTGCTAGCTGCTGTGAAGTAGGGTTGGGACAGGCCTGGACTCAACCACGTGTCCTTGCCCTCCCAGTGCTCTCCTTCACAGTGGTGGCGGCAGTGGCGCGGCAAGGTCGGGGCTCCCCTCTTTTTTCTCCTTCCTCTTTCTCTCTCTTCCTTCTCCTTCTCCTCTCTTCCTTCTTCCTGCATTGGCCTCGGGGTTTTCCTGGCCCCGGAGCGCCGCTGGGCAGTCAGCCGGGTGCTCTTGCTCCCAGCTCAATTTGGGTTGCGGCGGTGTGTGTGTCAGTAGTTCCCCCAGTTGACACGATGGGCGTCCCCAGTTCCCCCTCAGCAGTGGTGGTGGCAGCGGCAGTCTCAGCAGCCCAGAGCCAGCCTGGTAGTGCAGTTGGCTCTGGCTGGCTTCAGGAGCTGCTCGCTGCCGTGGCATTCACCATAAGTCCCCATATGATGTGTCTTGTGGCGTTGAACCAGTCACGCAACATTCACTCCCTGCTAATAAATCTACAACACTTAAAATATAAATCTGGGGACATTAAATGAAATCCGGGAACATTCCGGGGACAGATTTTGTCCAGGGACAGATTTGTAAATCCAGGGACTGTCCCCGGGAAACAGGGATGTCTGGTAACCATAGGCTACATACTGCAGCATTCTGCACCAGCTGTAGCTTTCAGGCAGGAGTTTCTCTCAATCCTACATAAAGATGCCAGGGATTGAACCTGGGACCCTCTGTTTGCAAGGCAGGTTCTCTACCACTGAGCTATGGCCATCACCCAAAGGTTGCTGAGCTACATCCCCCCATCAGCCCCAGCAAGCACAGCCAATGGCTAGAGAGGATGGGAGTTGTAGTTCAGTGGCATTTGGCACACAAATGTTTTCCTACCCTTGTGCCCGTTCAGGCCTTAAGTGGGAGAATCGCACCTGGGGATATTTGCCTACCAACTAAACGGACCACCTTTTGGCAGGAGCAGAGATGGGGTCTGCGCTGGCACAGACCAACGGAGCCTGGCAAATGGAGACTCTTGCCACATCCTAACACCTTTCAATGCAGTGGAACAGGGGTTAGGACTGCTCTCTGCGATATGTTCCTGTCTACTTAACAAGGTAGTTGCACAGGTGATTGCGGACCGCCGTAGAGGACAAAGAGAGATCTGAAGAGTTCCTGAAAGATCTCATAAAATTTTCTTGATTTAAAAATGTCTCCTGTCATGCACCACTCTGCTATGAAGATATATAGCGACTCTCTAGTTAAGCTGGATAATTAACACAGAGGTCCTGTTATTATGTGAGGCGATCACCTCTTACCCTTGATTTTTAAACATATTATTATTATTATTATTATTATTTATTTTGAAGGCTGGAGACAGTCCCTGATATGTATGGAGGAATTTTGTTAAATATTTCTATTGTTGCTTTCGCAAACCTCCTTGAAAATGAAAAGACATGACGATGTGTCAATTGGGTTTTATTTATTCCCTCTGATGTATCTTAGCTCATTTCTCCTTGTGATAGGATTGTCCGTGACTTGTGAAACCCTCCTCCCCCAAACCCGCACCATGCTCAAGAGCTGGACGTCTCTCCCATCTGCTCAGACCTTCTGGGCGATTTTTAAATTTTTGCTCTGCACCTTCAACTGTCTGAATCCTGCTCTTTCCCCTGTGTCTTCAGCAGAGCAGTTCTACCAAAAGGTGGCTGAAGTGGGGCCCTCAAGATGTCATGCACCCAGAAACCCATCACCTTTGGCCTCTGACCAGGCTGACAGGGACTGATGGGAGCTGGAGTCCCAAAACCTCTGAAGGTTGTGCCTCTGTTGACTGCCTCTAATCTAGACCAGGGTGGCCCAACCTTTCATACCAAGTGGGTCGCGAGAGTACTTCAACATAGGACCCGTGGGTCGCACACCGCCTTCATGTGTGTGGGCGTGGGGTGGGGAGAGCGAGACCCATACTCCAGCTCTCATACTGTCTTCCCCAAGCCAGCAAATCCAGATTTTGGGAAGGAGGTGCAAAGCTCTGGCAGGGTCCTTGAGCCTCCCACCTCCTTTCCAGAGTTGGGAAAGCACTAGCTAGGCTTTGGAAAGGAGGGAGAAGGGCTCTAGGACCCTGCCAGAGCCTTGCACCACCTTCCCAAAGACTGGCACCTTGCTTACCTGGCTTTGGAAAGGCAGCATGAGGACTGGGGTGTGTGTCAAATGTTGCTGAGGGCCGCACAAAAGGTATGGAGGGCCGCATGCAGTCCCTTGTGCCGCGTGCTCGACTGTTCTGATCGAGACAGTTTGCTGGTATGTGGAACTGGATAAGTGCCTGATCACTGCTTGCCTGCATTCAACAGGAATATGGTTTTTGTTTTGTTTTGTTTCCAAGCACATCTACAGTACAGAAATAGACTGGTTTAAATATAGCCCAGTCCCTTTCCCCAAGGGATTCTGGGAATTGTAGGTCTGTAGTTATGTGAGGGGTGTGCATAAGGTATTTGAAATGGAAAATTTTCAGTAAAATTCCATGGATGAAAATGGAGACACTTTTGTGTCCCTCTAATGTTGCCGCTGTTTCTGTCTTTCTATCCTCCAAGGAGCTGAAAGCAGCATACCTGATTCTCCTTCTCCTCCACGGAGGTCAGGTTTGCTAAGCCTGTTCATGCAGATGCAGTTGACTCACCCCTATTCTTTGGCAATGGAGGTGGCATTGATGGAGCCAGATTCAAGTCTCCTCTAGCCCCAGACACTCCCCTGGGGAGGGATGGCTCTTGGCTGGAGGCAGGCAGCTCTGGAGAAAACCTCTGTCTGCTGTGACGTATCACCCAGGGCAGCACTGAGGTGAGCTGCTTTCTTCCCCAGGGTTTCGACTGGGCTCCCCCAACCTGCTGGGCCCCTCCCCAGGACCCAGACTCTCCAGATATCTGCTCTCTTCCCATTCCCCCTCCCACCAGTCCTGCCAAGATTTCTCCACAGGGCTCAAGGCACTTTTCTAAGAGTTGTTATTGGGATCCTATTCCCCTCATGGAGCAACAATTTCCATAGTTCCCTGGGAAGAGGAATTGATTGTCAAGCCCCTCTGGGAGTTGTAGCACTCCCATGGGAATAGGGGCCTCCTAACAGCTCTTGGCACCCTTAACAAACTAGCCTTCCCAGGAGTCTTTGGGGGAAGCCATGACTGTTTAAAGTGGCAGGATACGGTTTTTGACAGGGATGTGGGTGGCGCTGTGGGTTAAACCACTGAGCCTGGGACTTGCCAATCAGAAGGTAGGTGGTTCGAATCTCCGCGACGGGGTGAGCTCCCGTTGCTTGGTCCCTGCTCCTGCCAACCTAGCAGTTCAAAAGCACGTCAAAGTGCAAGTAGATAAATAGGTACCGCTCCGTGCTGCTCTGGTTCGCAATGTGCTGCTCTGGTTCGTCAGAAGCAGCTCAGTCATGCTGGCCACATGACCCGGAAGCTGTACACCAGCTCCCTCGGCCAATAAAGCGAGATGAGCGCCGCAACCCCAGAGTCGGTCACCACTGGACCTAATGGTCAGGGGTCCTTACTGTCCTTTACCTTACTGTTTTTGACGCAAATTGCAGATGAGGCCTGTCTCAAATCATTGACCAAACTTCACTTTGAAATATATTTAAAAATAAAAAAATTGTCCAGTAGCACCTTAAAGGTAAAGGTAAAGGTACCCCTGCCCGTACGGGCCAGTCTTGCCAGACTCTAGGGTTGTGCGCTCACCTCACTCTATAGGCCAGGAGCCAGCGCTGTCCGCAGACACTTCCGGGTCACATGGCCAGCGTGACAAGCTGCATCTGGCGAGCCAGCGCAGCACACGGAACGCCGTTTACCTTCCCGCTGGTAAGCGGTCCCTATTTATCTACTTGCACCCGGGGGGGCTTTCGAACTGCTAGGTTGGCAGGCGCTGGGACCGAACGACGGGAGCGCACCCCGCCGCGGGGATTCGAACCGCCGACCATGCGATCGGCAAGTCCTAGGCGCTGAGGTTTTACCCACTAAGTATGTTCTTGGTATAAGCTGTTGTGTGCATGCACACAAAAGCTTATACCAAGAACAAACTTAGTTGGTCTCTAAGGTGCTACTGGACAATTTTTTTATATATCTGGACTGCGTCAGACCAACACGGCTCCCTACCTGAATCTCAAACTTCACTTGTTTCTTAGACTTTCTCTGCATTTACCCGCTAGGAGGACTAGTCTTGTGTTCAGCTTTCCTCAGGCGGTCTCTTTCCTTCCTTCCCCAGGACAGCTCCTGTTTGTCAAATTGTTCCCTTTCGTGGGTGGATGTTTCAATTTGGCAATGCAGCAGCTGCTGTGGCGAATGGCGTAGCAATTAACACATTAGGGGGCTCTGGGGGTGAGTAACCCCATCACAAACTCTTCAGGCTCTCTCTCTTGTTCTTTTTTATTACTGTCTGCAAAAATATTCTTTTTTCCCAGCTGGAGACTCGGACTGTGGCTAAGGGCACCCACCATCAATCTTGTTCCAGGCAGGCAGAAGCAGGTAAAAGACTTCTTTTGACTGACGTGAGGCTGTCAGTCTCTTTTGGCTGAGTGAAATGAGGGTCTGGGTCAGCTGCTCTGTTTGGCTTTGCATTAAGCTTGTTTGGAGAATGCTAACTCAGATGAAAAGAGCGATATCGGCATGGAATTTGGTGTACACGGGCTCTGTTCAGATGCTCACTCCCTTGACTCAGCAAACAGGTAGGGTGGTTTTGGTGAAGAACTGACTTGAGTGTGCTAGCTCTGCCCCTGTCCCCCTCTGTGAGTTCAAGGGTGACTCTGCAGCTTGGAAGCCTCATGTGCTCGTGGAGCTCTTCGTGGGATAGATGCACCCTGGTACTCTGTAGCAGTGAAATCTCACATACTTGTGGATCTCCTTGCATGATGGAGGACCTTGAGGACTCTGCAACAGGGAAGCCTCACGTACTTGTGGAGCTCCTTGTGCGATGGAGTACTCTGGTGACTGCTTCAAGGAAACCTCATGGACATGTGGATCTCCACAAGTATGTGAGGCTTCCCTGCTGCAGTCACCAGGGTGCTTCAACCCACAAGATGAAGGGAATGGGGTACTCTTGCCTGCTCTGCCTGTCTTTCATCCACCACCCATGTCTGTTTGCTTAACCAAGTTAGTGAGTGCCTGATTGCTGCTGAAACTTTGAAGAGCTGCTGCCCGTCAGTGTAGGCCGCACTGAGCTACGTGGGCTGGTGTTATGACTCAATATGAAGCAGCTTCCTATGTAATTTAAAGGTGCCCTAATAGACAGGACAACAGCTCACATGCTGCAGAAGGCAAACACCATTTTAAGAGGTGCAATTTCTCACAAGAAGGAATACCTTCAAAATGCCTGCCACAATCCACATGGGTGACTCAAAAAAGAATAAAAGAAAAATGCTTTTTTGTTTTGTTTTCTGGACTATTGTTTGCTCATATGCAAAGGTAATCTTTATTCAGTTGATAAAACCAGTCAGTGTAGACAACGCTGAGTCGCCTGACTGAGTGCATCCGTGTCTTGTGTTCCTGTGTACAGTGGTACCTTGGGTTACAGACGCTTCAGGTTACAGACGCTTCAGGTTACAGATGCTTCAGGTTACAGACTCTGCTAACCCAGAAATAGTACCTCAGGTTAATAACTTTGCTTCAGGATGAGAACAGAAATCGCGCGGCGGCGATGCGGCGGCAGTGGGAGGCCCCATTAGCTAAAGTGGTACCTCAGGTTAAGAACAGTTTCAGGTTAAGAACGGACCTCCAGAACGAATAAAGTTCTTAACCCGAGGTACCACTGTATTGAATTTCATTAACAAATTTGACTGCCTTTGGCCTTGCTCAGGCATGCAATTTGGACTACAGCACCCATGTGGCAGTGATGGCCACCAACTTGGGTGGCTTTGAAAGAGGATCAGGCGAATTCATGGAGGAGGAGAGGGCTGCCGATGGCTGTTAGCCAGGATGGCTACGCACTGCCTGTGCAGTTGGATGGATGGAGGCAGAAATGGTTCTGAATGCCAGTTGCTGGTAATTGCAATTGGGAGAGCACTGGTGTGTTCAGGTGCCACAGCTATCTAGTTGGTCACTGTGAGCAGGATGCTGGACCAGGTGGCTCATTGACTTGATCCAGCAGACTCTTCTTAGGTTCTTCTGCTGAGGCTTGATGCAGCAGTCAACAGGTGAATCATACGGGTGTGAACAACCTTCTTTCTTGGTTCAAATTGAGCCTGTGGGTGGTTGGAGGGTGCAAAATGCTACAAAGCTTCAGCAGGATAATTGATTCAGTCCATACAGGTGGCGGCTGTGCTTTGTCCTATTTCTTATGCTTTAATTCCTGCCCTCCAGTCCCAATTCCGCCATGTGCCTGGCCCACGTTTTCCCCATCCTCTTCCCATGGCATCGGAGACGTAGAAATTCTCACTCTCTCGCCTTTCACAGGTCATCTCTTCTTGGTTTTGGCATTGAAAAGCACTTCACAAAGAACTTGCTTGAGCCAAACAAAACGATTCAAAGAAGTGTGGCTGTTCCCTGAGCCTGTCTAAAAATAGCACGATGGAGGTCACTGTTTGTTTGTCTCTCCGAGATGTTCAGATCAGATTGTTACAAGTGAAGAAGGAAAAAAAAAGAATGAGAAAAGAGAAAAAAAAGGTCCCCCCACTCCCTCCCTCCCTTTAACTGGCAGTTCCTCGGTCTCCCTCTGGGAACCAGATTTCCAGCTGACTGCTCTGAGTTTGCCACCAACATCAGTAATAAAGATTTTGCAGTTTGCAGTCAAAAGGTAGATAGCAATTAGAGAGCTAATACGCAGGGCAGAGTGAAACTCACTTGCCTTTGCTCCTTCTTCCAAGGCAATCCGATTGGCTTTAAGCTGTATTGGCTATGGCAAGGGAGAAAACAACTTTTTGTCTGCCCCCCAAATTGCCTGAATTGATGTGGAATTTCCAAGCTGAGGGCTCATAGCTCAGTGGCCAGACAGAGGTTGAGGGAATCTGCCAGTTTTGCTTTCTCTCAGTTTATCATTTTTCCAATCTTAAATTCAGTTCCCCATATTTCCACATCTGTTTGTGATACATACTTAAGTAAAGGTCCTCATGGAATTCCACATGCACACTTTTGAATGCAATATTCCTTAAGATAGACATTTTTTAAAGCAAACTATTTCCTCTTAATATGATTTATCTTGGTATGTTCCCCCCCCCACTAACATGTGCATTTATACTTGAGTGTTAGCTGAGCATATGTATTTTTGTACACGTTACTGGGCATATTGTTTGCATATTGCCTTTAAACGCAAACCGAATTGTATCTCTCCCACATCCCTAGCAGTTAGTCTCACTGAACTCAATGGAACTTCTGGGTGAGCATCCACATAACACTTGCTTTCTCTTCCTCCTTTCTGTTCTGGGCTGTACTGAGATTTGAACAGACTGGGTCCAGGCAGTCTTGGATCACCCAAGGGTGGGACCACCAGGAGAAATCTGGGGCTGTCAAAAGGAGGGGGGGGGGACAGTCTTCCTACTGCTAGTCTGGGTTAGGGTTCTGTAAATCTAGATATAGACAAATATCTCCTCCTGCAACACACACAACTGTCCTTGATGCAAGGGTTTTAGGCTGCATCTGAAACGCCTTCCAGGGAGTTCCACTGAACATGATGAGTCTTACTTCTGAGTAGACATGCATAAGTTGGAAGAAGGGGGGTGCGGTGGGTGCGGTCCACCCTGGGTGTCATCCCTGAGATGGGGTGACATCGCTGCTCCGCCCCCTCGGGACGCTTGCTGCTTGCCATGGGCAGCTAGTCCCGCCCCCACAGGCGGCTAGCCCCGCCCCCGGGTGCACAGCATGTGTACCGCTCCAGGTGCCAGAGCAGCTAGCTCCACCTCTGGGTTTGCACTGTTAACCTTTTTGTGCTTAGCCATGTTTGGAAAGTCATGGCATCTGTAATATTTTAGCTTGTAACATACAAATGTGGAAGCACTGCTCTCTAATAATATTAATCTGGAACGATAAGATTTAATGCTTGGCATGGCTCCTGTTATATGGCACCGGGTGAAGCATCTTAGCTTTCCTTTTCTAAGCTGCGAAGGGATCTGCGATCCATTACTGAGCTGCTGGTCAGGTGGGAATTGGAATCTACCCTATCTCATTTCTTATCCTCTCTCCAGGATGGTTCATGTGGATTCTGAAAGAACCAAACATTGCAGCATGAAAGCATCGATGTGTATGTATATCAATGGGTTTGAACCTGGTTGCATTGAGGATTCCTACACAGGAAGGTGCCTCATCCCAAGTCAGGCTAAGAGTCCATCTAAATTCATAGAATCATAGAACTGTACAGTTGTAAGGGACCATGAGGGTCATCTAGTCCAACTCCTTGCAATGCAGGAATCTCAACTAAAGCATCCATTCATATTGTCTATGCTGACTGACACCAGCTCTCCAGGGGACACTCCGAGCCCTACCAGGAGATGCAGATCGAATATGGGGCGCAGATTGTGAAGCAGGTGCTGTTCTACTGAGACACAGTCCCTCTTGGCTACTTGCTAGAGTTGAGCTCAGTGGCTTTGGGTCAAGATCCAGCACCTCTGTAGGTTGTGCTACTGGCATTTCCTGATTCTGCAGATCCCTCTTCCGCTGTTGGCATAAAAGTTGCTGCTGGAAGTCCAGGTTGTGGCAGTGTCTTGGCCAGCTGCTCTTTGCTTTTTCTTTAGTAGAACAAGGGCTGTAGCTTAGCGGTGGACCACACACTTTGCACCCGGAGGGTCCCTGGTTTTGGCCCCTCAGCACCTCCAGTTAAAAGGCTCTTAAAATTAAGGCTCACAGATTCAAACAGCTCACTGCTGCCACTGCAGCTCAGATTACACTGTCCTGGACAAGGCAGAACAACAGCCTGACTCAGTGCAAGGCAGCTGCATATGTTCATACAATAAAAGCATCTTTATATAATTTCCCCTCGTATGAGAGAAGACTCAAAAACATTCAAGTCACGCTTCCAAGTGTGTGAGCCTGCGAGTCAAATTCCTGCCTCATTGTATTGCTGTCTCTTTTACTCAAGCATTGTACATGATCCAGATATATATATAT